ACAAACACAGGCAGCAACAACAAAAACAACTTGGCTGTGTGGCCCTGGACAAGTGACTTACCCTCTCTAAACTTCACTATCCTGATTTACAGACGAGGATATCCCCAGGGCATCCTTTGAGGTTGGGGAGTAAACATGAGGGATGCATAAATGCTTGACACAGAGTAAGTGAGCAAAGTGTCTTCGCTGGTATATCCAGCCTCTGCCGGATGGAGGACATAAACATTCTAAGTGATGACTCCTACCTTGGCCTTGTCCACTTAATTACCTTTATTTTCTGAACACCTGTGTGACCAGTTTTGAAGAGGTGATTTTCTTAAAAGATGCAATGTGACAGAGGCTGAAACTTTTCTCCTTTATTGGACTGCTTAGGTGAATCAAAGCACTTTTTAATTGGATTGTCCCTCCAGGCTCAGAAGGCAATGTCCAGGAACTAGTCTACTGAAGGGGCAGCTGAACTCTGATGGGTGGGGTGTGCAAATAAAAGAAAAGTGCTTTTTGGTGAAGCGAATAGGCTGGATTTAGACCTGTTATCTTTGGAGATCAGCAAATACAACTACAGCAAATTTTGCAGCTCAAGGAAACCTCTGTGTTACTAATGCAGGTTTGCAAATATAGCAACCACAATGAAATGGCTACTTTTAAATGATTTCCTATAATGGTGCTTATATATGGAAGCTTTTTTCCCTATTGAAGGAATTTAATTGGAAAATGGCAAAGGAATAAGAAGAGTCAGATGGCCAGTTCCGACGAACAAACACACTGCGCCGTGTGAGCAGCCTTAATGAACTCCTTGTTGTGCCCAAGTCCTCCTGGGGGATCTTGCAGAGCTGCCCCTGCTCAGAGCACCCTCCTCCTCACCTGCTCCACACCCACTCAGCCCCGGATTCCTGCTCAGCTGTGACCTCTGGGAAGCATTCTTCCATGCTCCTGCCCGAGGGTATTGCCAGGGCCACTGCAGGCCTGCTTCGGGGTCATAACTGCACTGTGAGGTCTTCCCTGGGGACCTATCTGCATCCTCCAAAGAACTGTGAGCTCTGGGATGGGGTTTGTTCACTGCTGCTCAAGCATCTCCTATGTGCAGGCACTATGCAGGTGAAGTCCCTGACCGCATGGAGCCTGCACTCTGATATGACAGCCAGAAACACACAAGGAAATGAGTACAAACACAGGATCAACAGGGAGTGCTCCATGCTATGAAGGAAAATGAAGCAGGGAAAGGGAGGTGAGTGGCTCCATGAGAGTGAGGGATGCGGCAGGACTCTAGAGGGGAGGGCGGGGGGCCTCTGTGGAGACAGCGGGTGAGGAAGGAGGGCTCCAGGCCCGACGGAACAGCCAGCACAGAGCCCTGGGGCAGGGGAACCAGTTTAGGTTGGAGGCACAGTAAGTCAGGAGGCCAGGATGGCTGGAGCTGGAAGGAAAACAGGACAAAAGGCCAAGGAGGAGGCCAGAAGCAGGGAGTGCCCTGTTGGCTGCATGCTGAGGAATCGAGAGGTCACTCTAGGCTTGAAGGACTCGAGGGTGGGCACGCAGTGACCTGCCAGCAGGTTCTGTCTTTCATCCCCAGTACCTAGCACAGCCCCAAGTGCGTTTGCTGACTAACTGAAAAAAGGCTTCTATGTGTGGGCAGAGAACACGTGCCAACATGGGGCAGGGAAGGTCACTCCTCTCCAGGAACTCAATTTTCTCAGGAAAGAGGCTACCGCCAGTCACAATTATCCTGTGTATTTTAAAATGAGAAACAGAGTAAAAGAATGGTTTGGGAGAATGAGGATGCCCCAAGGCGCAGGCAGGAAGACTCTGGCTTCTGTGTGGGGCCCAGGACTACAGATGCCATCTCATGTCAGCAGGCCCAAGAAGTCCTGCAGAATGACATCCACATAAGTGGGTTTATCCCTGCATTTCCCAAACTTACTTAATTAGGAAACTTTGTTCCAGTGCAGGTCACTTATTAATTCCATAAAATACAATTTGAGAGAAGTGAATAGATGAATCAATACAGGGCTGACACTCTGCAATGATGAGCAATTTCTAGGCTGTTTAAATCTGTCTGGCTGCCTAAGGCTGGATGACAACAGAGTCCTGAAGCTTGGGGCTGGAGGGTTAGAGATTTAGGACGCCAGTATGAACTTAGCATGCTGGTATGAACCTGGCACATGCATGGTCTGGTTGCGGGGAACTGTGTGTATTGTAACATAAAGCCCAGGGTCTGGCTTCAGTTTAGTTGGGGGAATTGTCTTCACTCCTCAACGCACTTCTGCCTGGCTTAAGCTGCTACCAATCTACAGCTCTCAATGGCTTTGACGCATTTCATTTGGACTTAGATGTAATCCAGACTTCTGATCACTCCTTCCTTATTAGAGCCTCCTCTGCCCCACTGGCTTCCAGAACACCATTCTCCTCATTTTATTTCTACATCTTTGGCTAGCTGATTGGTGCACTGGTTGACTACCTCATTTATCCATGCCCACTACTCTCTTTAAAGACATGTTATGTGCCAGGCCCTTTCACTGCCTCTGAAGATGTGCTAGGAGATGAAACAAACACACCTCCGCCTAGTGGAATTTAGTAGGAGAGTCAGTCAAGCAAATAAATACTATTACATAATTTAAAACGTCAACGTGATAGAAAGATACAAATAGGACAATGACGGAGTCAGCAGTTATCATCTGCAAACACCCAGATGTCTCCCAGCTGCTTTTCTTCAGCCCAGGGTTAGAGATTTATGAAGCCTGTATGAACTTAGCATGTCGGTATGACCTTAGCATGCATGGTCCGGTTGCAGGGAGTTGTGTGATTGTAACGTAAATATGCACAACTTTAGTTCCCTAATTGAATGAAAAGGTCCTCTTGGTTTTTTAACTGAATACCTACTGCCTTCTAAAGCATCTCTGCTTGAATACTTCAAGACACTATAAACCCATGGACAAACAAAACATACAATCTCCATCTATCATACCGTTTCTGCCCCAAGCAAAACAAAACTCAAAGCAAAACCACCTGGTCCTACTTCTTATGTGCCCTACTGGCGAGTGGCCCTGTTGTCCATCTATTGTGCAAAAGAAACTCTTAGGGGTATATACACCCCTGCACCTTCAATCGGTTTCCAGTCCTTCGGCAAATCTTGCCAATTTTACACCTTTATTAAATCGCAGCTGCCACCACCTTAACCCTAGCAACAGTTTTGCCCATCTAGACTTCTGCAGTAGTTTCTGGGCTAGCCTCCTCAACTCATTCTTTATCTATGGATTCTTTCTCCACACTACAGAGTGACTGATTCAAAATGCAAATCTGATTATCTCATTCCCTTCCCCTACTATTAAAATCTTTCAGTAGCCTCTTGTGGATCTTTGGGTAAAGGCTAAACATGGTCTCCAGAGCGGCCTGTAAGGCTCTGCATGGTCTAGTTCCTGCCTACCTCTACAGTCCCCCCTCACACCTCTGTACCGTCCTTCCATGACCATCTTCTGTCACCTTAAATGCATTCCTCTCCCTCACTGGATGCTATCTCTTCCTTGACCTGCTTAATTCCTACTGATCCTCCAGATCTGAGGTCAAATGACTCCTAGAGGAAGGCTTCTTGTAATCCTAGACTGAATCAAATTTCTTTGGATACACTCTAATAGTACTGTGTTCCATAATGTTGTAGCACTTACAGGATTTTAATCAAACCCTAATATGTAATATTTGATTAAAATCTCTCTCTCCGGCCGGGCACGGTGACTCACACCTGTAATCCCAGCACTTTGGGAGGCCGAGGCGGGTGGATCACGAGGTCAAGAGATCGAGACCATCCTGGTCAACATGATGAAACCCCGTCTCTACTAAAAATACAAAAAATCAGCTGGGCATGGTGGCGCGTGCCTGTAATCCCAGCTACTCAGGAGGCTGAGGCAGGAGAATTGCCTGAACCCAGGAGGCAGAGATTGCGGTGAGCGGAGATTGCGCCATTGCACTCCAGCCTGGGTAACAAGAGTGAAACTCCGTCTCAAAAAAAAAAAAAAAAATCTCTCTCTCCAACAAAATTTTAACTTCCGAGAAAACTCACTATAACACTCAAGAAAACTCACTATACGCACTCTTCTTTCTCCTGCTTCTTCTTCCATCTCTCCCATACATCTGAACATGTCCTAAGATATGATGCTCCTCCCTCTTTTGACTCCACACCCTTCAACTGCAGGGATCACCTTAGCTCAGAACTTCCAAGCCTCTTCCCTCAACCTCGATCTCCTTCCAAATATCCAGGTAGGCAAGACCAGTGGTTCTGCAACATTTTGACTCAACTCACAGTTAGAACATTCATTTGACAACTTACTACCTACAAAGATGCAAGAAACAAATTTCATTAAACAATATTATCGCTCGCTTTCCTATTTGCTTTTATTTAAAAAATACTTTTTCATATAATTTCAAGACCCAATACAAGGTCACAACCTGCAATTTAAAATATACCATACCAGATATTTACCCATGGGTATTTCTCTGCAACCTCAAACATAATATGACTATTTCCCAACTCATTTCTCAACGAAGCATCCTTACTAAGGAATATATGACCATTCTCTTAGTCACTTAGGAACAACACATTGGAGTCATTTTGGATTCCTCCTTCTCACCCAACCCAAGGAGCTGTTAGAACCTGCTGGGGTTCTTCCACTGCAGTGTGTTGGCCCCCATCCCATCCCTTCCTTCCCACCATCATAGTTCAGATATTACCGTAACTTGGAATACTGAAATGGCCTTTTAAACTGGCTCACTACTTCCAGAATTTTCAAATGTAAGTGACTTATGTTTGAATCACAATTGTATCAGGGCAGAAAGCTTCAGTTCCATTTTGACCAACAAAGTAATGTGTAAGGGACTGAAATACGTGTGACTTCATCCACTCAGCAAACTCCTTGAAAAATTAAATTTTAATTCAGGCTGCCTCACATTTATAAAATTTCTATTACAATTCAGAAACCAAACTCTGGCTTGGTGGTAAGGGCAGGCAGACTCACCCATGTCAGCGGTGACCATGGTAGACTGGTTTTCGGGGATGGAGACGGAGGTCTGGTCTTGGTCCATGCTTCGAGAGTCCTCGTTGACCTCATGTTGACTCTGGCTGAGCTCTGATCGCAGTTCTGAGTACTCATCTTCCTCCCTGAGGAAAAAAGGAGAGTTATCCACCACTGAAAGAGGATATAAGATACGCCTCTAGAGAATATGTCTTTTAAGGACAAGAAAAAAACATGCAGAGAGAAAACAGATTTCTGCCTCAGGCCACATGGACCAGGATTCCTCTCAGGCCAAATAGATGGTCATATCTATGTTTGTGAGTGAAGCTGAAAGATTGCTTCTGTGTCCATATAACATACGCATGTATTGAATGAGATTCATCTATCAGCCTGCAGAAACTCTTCCCCTCTAAAGATTTCCTGAAGAAACTAGATTCCTTCACCTCCTCAAATTCCAAGGGGAAAAAGAACTAAGACTAATAGCACTGAGACTACTATGAACCAAATAACTAAGAGTCTAGCACACAGCAACACCATGCTCCACCACCCGGAGGAGCTCACAGGGGCTTCCTTCTTGGAGGAGGCTGAAGGTTGGGGATAGGTTTGGAGCTATTGGGAAACCAGCACCTCATCAGTGCAGATGAAACTAGACTTTTTTGAAAGGTATATGGATCAGCATGTCCAAGACAGACTAGGCTTCCCCAAAGAAAGTAGGTAGAATTAGGGGGTAGGAAGAGAGGATGTAATGGGGAGAAAACAGAACACTGAGGGAGAGAACACCACTCAATGGTCTATTTCCTTTAATTTGCACATGAAAACAAGAAGACAACATTTAAACCCCACTGGGTTTTATTTGTATATACACATCTACCTCTTCTCAGCCCTTCAGCCTCTAGTCTCTCCATTGTACTATTAGCGAGCTGGGAAACTTAGGACTGCAATATGAATTTCAGAGCATGTGTACTGTCCCCTTCCCCTGCCACCACCATCACCACACATACACTCACCACAGGCACAGAGGGAGCAAAATGAACCCTCTTTGAAAGACCTATTTTGCAATTGAGCCAGGAGGGGAAACTGTCAGGGGATTTAATTGGGAGTAGAAAGCCCACTCAGGTCTGCTCAGCTTCAAGGGCAGGGTGTCTGTGAAGAAAGCTAGGAATAGGAGAAATCTTCTCAGCCTGGAATTCATTTTAAGTTGTCAACAACCAGAGGAGAAGAAAGTCTACAGTGTTGGATTCTGGGTGAAGCAAGATGATGAGTGGTGATCATTAGGGTTTAGGGAGGCAAGTGGGAGACACACCTATAAATCAGAGGAATGTGAAGAACAGAAATCTTAGTTCTCTCAAGATATCAAATTTCTCCCAGGAAAGGGATTCAGCTGAGCCCCTGCTTTATAAGGTATTGTTAATAAAAGCTACCCAGAAAACTGGGAAAGCTTTATGCAGATATAAAGCCCCACACATGCAAAATATGAATTAGATAGTGATGAAGGCCAAAAAAACCAGACTGATGTTCTATGAATGAGTTAATTATTAGACATCTGCAAAAGTCAATAATAATTAGGTTTAGGAGAGAAAACGATTAAAAAGCACTCTTAAGTGCCTTTTTGGGCTACAGAATAATTGTTCACTGATAGATACATTAGCTCTCCTTTCAGTCAGCACTTAAAATTCTGATTTTAGTTAAGGGGGGATTGTGTGTATGATGAATAAATTACCTTTGTTACATGGCCAACGTAATCAGCTTTGGCTCAGTTGAGACTTTTTTCCAGCCAAGAAAGCAAGTGATAAATGCTACTGCTGTTTCCTTGGTATAAATGGCATTTGCAAAATCTTTAATAGCCACCTTAAACTCTCCTGGCTTGGCAGGTCCCAAAACATATAGTTCCTGCCAAATCTCCTGCTTTGTACTGAATTACTTCTAGAGATTACTAGGATGAACTTTATGAAGGAGTGAAGCAGGAAGGTATGGGAGAGGGAAGCTGTTATTGTAAAAGCATTCCCTCATGAGGTCAGAGAGTAGTCTGAAGGAGAATCATACCACATTAGGCAGAAGGTTTTCTGTGTCATAAAATGCAAACTAAAAATCCCCATTCAATGTATTTGAGCACCAAAACAAAGACAGGAACACAAGGACTGTACAGATTCTGTCTTCAAGGAGACAGAGATGTTCACAACCTAAGAAGGAGGCTGTGGGTGAACCCAGGTGCAATGCCTGAGGCTGCCAGTGGGGAGCGACCACAGAAGATCTCCTGGGTGGAGCAGCGCTCAAGATGAGTCTCAAGGCAAGTAGATTTCAGTTATGTCACGAGTGTGGAATAGCACAGGCAAAGGCTCAGAGGAGCTGCAAACGTGCAGAACTTGGAGAGGAGCAAGTGGTTCGCTATGGCTGAAACCAAAACATGGCACAGGATGGAAACGTGAGGCTGGAGAGGTACTTGGGGTAGTTTGAGCAAAAGGAAAATATATTGCACTGGAGGACGGAAATAATCAGGGTTAGATGGAAGAAATAAAAATACAACGTGGGAAGTCTAGGAATTCAGGGTAAGGAGTAAATATTCCCAAGGTCTTGTGTGGGAACAGATAAAATGAGAAGAAGAGAAATATCCTAGAATAAAAACAACACATGCCAACAAAGTATACAGTAATTAGAGGTGGAAAGCTACCTTTCGAGAACAGGGAAGATTTTGTGCCACAAAAAATGAAGTATAAAAAGGTTAAACTGAGCTTAAATATTAGAAAGTTCATGCAGCCTTGTTGTGTCGCCCACTGACTTTAGTAAAAAGTCACAGAGCTGCATATCCTTATCTCTCATTGGCATCATTCCTGACGGGAGGCTGTAATCTGGGACTGGGAAATGACAAAGGCAATTCTCAAAGGACCCTCCTGACAATCAATTTGTGATTGCAGTATATGTGGCAGGCTGATGATTGGGGGCCTTCCCTACCGTTCAGGAACACTGTTCCACCAGGAGCAATGGATTAAGTAAAAAAAAACACTAAGAGTCCCTGGCAGTTTTACCAAGACAAGATTTTGAGTTGTGCTTCTGCAGTGGCTCTGCACAGCATGGACGGTGCCTGGCGAGGACGTCTGGCTAATGGTGTAGCAGCAACAGCATCTCAAGATGACTTCTGTTTGTTGTATATACAGACCTTCTTCTCAAGCAATAACTTATTTCTTTTGGAAAAAATGCCTCCCCCCCCCCAAAAAAAAAAAACAACTGCTAGTGCTGGTGATGAAAAAGATGAAAATGTAAAAACACAAAAAAGTGGCCATTTAAAACCAGAAAAATGGCAGCTGCGATAAACTGATCAATGTTGAAAGTGACACCGTAGCGGTAGGTTTGTAACACTGGAATGACAAGGCTCTCAGGTGTTTCTCCATGGAACATAAGGGTCACTTCAGAGGCTTCCAATTGCATGTTATTTCATTCACTTAGAAGCATCTGTGAAGTGCTTCCAAGTTGCTTTAGGAGATGCAATGATTAATGTTTGTTCCTAGCTTAAACAACAAAGCACAACAAATGCTCCTAAGGAGGCAGGCATTAGGTTGGACACTTGCCTATGTAATGACCAGCAGTGGCAGAAAAGTCACAGGCTGGCAGACTGGAAAGGATTTTAAAGACTGTCTTTGCCAGGACCCCAACTTTATTTTATAAATGAGACAAATGGGGCTTGGAGAGGCAACTTACCTAAGATTATGCAACCATTGCTAGCACAGCCTAATTCCTAAATTTTGTACCAATCAGACAACATGTAGTTGACCCTTGAACAACATGGGTTTGAACTGCATGAGTCCATTTATATGCAAATTTTCTTTCAATAAATATGTTTGAAAATGGTTTGGAAATTTGTGACAACTTGAAAAAAAACTCACAGATGAATTGTGTAGCCTAGAAATAAAAAAAAACTAAAAAGGTATATCATGAATTCATGAAATATATACGTTAGGTTGATGCAGAAGTAATTGCAGTTTTTGCCATTGAAAGTAATGCAAAAAAAAAAAAAAAACCCAGCTGCTTTTGCACAACCTAGTCGATACTAGTTTATGTGTTAATTGACTACTTATGTTATCTGTAAAGCTTCAAGTCAACAGTAGACTATTAGTAATTAAGTTTTTGGTGAGTCATAAGGTATATGTGGATTTTTAATTGCACAATGTAGGGGAGGGGTTGGTGCCACTATCCCTCATATTGTTGGGGGGGTTTTAACTCTTATTTTAGGTTCATGAGTACATGTGAAGGTTTGTTATGCAGGTGAACTCATGTCATGGGGGTTTGTTGTACAGATTATTTCATCACCCAGCCCAATACCCAGTGGTTATCTTTTTTGCTCCTCTCCCTCCTCCCAATCTTCACCCTCAAGTAGGCCCAGTGTCTGTTGTTCCCCTCTTTATGCCCATTTGTTATCATTCAGCTCCCATACACAGTATTTGGTTTTCTATTCCTGCGTTAGTTTGCTAAGGATAATAGCCTCCAGCTCCACCCATCTTCCTGCAAAAGACATGAGCTTGTTTTTTAATGGCTGCATAGTATTCCATGGTGTATACGTACCATATTTTCTTTATCTAATTTGTCACTGATGGGCATTTAGGGTGATTCCATGCTTTTACTATTGTGAATGGTGCTGCAATGAATATTCACATGCATGTGTCTTTATGGTAGAATGCTTTGTATTCCTCTTGGTATATACCCAGTAATGGGATTGCTGGGCTGAATGGGGAGTTCTGCTTTTAGCTTTTTGAGGAATTACCATACAGCTTCCCACGACGACTGAACTAATTTACACTTCCACCAACACTGTAGAAGTGTTCCCTTTTCTTCTCTGCAACGTCAACAGCATCTGTTATTTTTTTTTACTTTTTAATAGTAGCCATTCTGACTGGTGTGAGATGGTATCTCACTGTGGTTTTGATTTGCATTTCTTTAATGGGCAGCAATATTGAACTTTTAAAAATATGCTTGTTGGCTGCATGTATTATCTTCTTTTGAAAAATGTCTGTTCGTGTCCTTTGCCCACTTTTTAACAGGGTTGTTTATTATCTCTTGTAAATTTGTCTAAGTTGCTTATAGATGCTGGATTGATCTTTGTCTGATGCACAGTTTCCAAATATTTATATAAGTTGTCTGTTTACACTGCTGATAG